AGGGGAAGGCATAATTATTAATTAATAGGCATTATAGGCCAGAAGAAATTTTGTGCCCCTTCACACCTGTGCCCGGGGGTGACTGATAATATGTTTTTGAAGTTTCAGGTTTTAGGGAATTTAACAGCAATAGACTAAAATAGTGGGTAAAGTGAGTCTCTGCATAAGGAATGAGCTGCAGTCTGTTGGGACTGAAGTAAAAAAATAATAGACAAAATAATAAATATATGTGGTTTTCAGACAAAGGTTTTAGGGGTAGAAAGTTTTTGGGTGACAGTTGCCATAGGCCACTTTATTAGGCAGATGATGTTACTAGAAATTGTATAAGGTTACTAATAAGGATACTGAAGCAATAATCTTGATAGGCTTCAATTCTAAAAATACTGATTGGAGTTGTATGGAGTAAAGTGGTAAAGAATAGGAGTTTCTTGAAGTCAACCATAAGAGATAAAAATGAAAAAATAAATTCACAACTCTTTTACTGAAAGTATTCCCCATTAACATTATTTTATTCCATCATGTCCAGGTGGGTGCACTCCCACTACAGGGGCAAACTTGCACAAATAAATTGTAAAATTGTCAAAATAAACTTTTAATCATACTATCACTAGGGGTTTTTGGTTATTCATAAATAATCAAGAGAACAAAAAATTCACACACCATTGGATTCCACAGTCACAAATTAGTAGATTTACAATGCAAGTTCAATTATGTAGTTAATAATTAATGAAAAACAAATAAAAAAAATCATACCTGTAAATTGGCCTTTAGCTCCACATTATGTAATCTGCACCACAAAGTTTATTGTATGGCTTTGTTTCTACAAATTCAATAGTTAAAAAGAATTTTAAAGTATTTTTTGTGTGTTTCAAATAGTAAATGCTTCTGGATCCAACAAAACCAGGCTTGACCAAAGTATAGCATGAAAAGAGCTTTCGTTTTCACTGATCCTTATTGGTCCAGCCAATTTGAGCTGATTTGATTTTGAACATTCGTTTGCTGACCGCTAACAAATGGTGAATGACAGGGTTAGCAATCATTGCAATGTTTTTAAAGTGGATTTACAACTAGTGGGAGTATTGTTGCCTTGAAATAAATCATGCAAATTCAGTATGTATTAGTACTGTTAATGTTTTCACTTGTTTTCTGGTGTACAATAATCATTAATTTGTCTATGTGAGATTTTACATCTACAAGCTTTTGTGGCCACGAATGATAATTCTTTGGGACCCTCTACTATCACAAAACTTCAGAGTTGAAATTTATTTAATAAAAAATTTCTATTTAATTATTTAATGATATACACAAATTTAAAACTAAAACTATAATTTTAATTTTAGGTTGATTTTAGCATGCTCCAAACAAAAAAATTTAGTGCTCATTAACTTCCTATCATTTTATGAATGACAATGTGGCACTAATAGCCCTGTGAAGAAACCAAAAGTTTTTAACAGAATAGTGCTAATTTGAACCTTGTCATTTATAGACTTTAGCCAATTACTGTTACTCACTGTCAGTTGTCATGGTACTCTGTAACAGTCTATATCTCAGAAATTTTCCAGTTAAGGGCCAAATCTAAACAAAAAACTTTTATAGCTCTGTTATTAAACTTTTTTTGCATCCAGCAATGAGCTCACCTTTATCTACTTTTCAAAAATTCTCTGTGACTTTATTAGTCAGCCTTCCTATAGTTGATTAGTTCTGCAAGTATTTTAACTTTCATCCCACCATTACCAGTGTTAACCTTCTTGAACTATTTTTCTATAATATTTTATTTATTGGTTTTTTCTCCTTTATGTCCTCATTAAGCCTATTACGTTTATTGCTTTCCGTTCTTTTGTAATGTTTTAATAAGAATTTTAGGCTTAACCTAATACAAATAGCATAATAATATTGGCTTAACAGGCTTAAGACGCAGCATAGCCACAGTTAGCAGTTAAGCCTAAGTCATATTGTAAAGCCATTCTACATTTCCAGTATTATAGATAATAAGCTATACCAAATTCGAAAACCAAAATTCATATGCAGGTTTCTTACTTGTTTTGACTTAAGCTGGCTGGTTTTTGGGGCTTTTTTGCGAAGGTAAGTGACAGTGTCCCAATCTGATTCTGCCATTTTAGGAACAAATTTGCCAAAAACTTCAGATTTCGTAAAATAATACACACGTTTAGTCATATGCTGCAAGTAAACTTGGAAAAACAACTTTCATCATTTCCTGCAGTTCGTTCGATTGTAGTACTGAGGCACCTATACTCTATAAACCAAAGTTTGTTGTACCTGAAATTAACACTTATATTTTTTATATTTTTTCCGTTACAACTCTCAGTCCAAACAACTTATCATAAATTGGACGAGATCAATTACTTTTTTATAGAAAATACATAGGGAACTCTAGCAGTAATTAGTGGAGTTAACTGCAATTATGATGTTAGTTCTTTGTTTACATTTCTGTACAACTTATACGTTATTAGAAACGCTATAAGTATAACCCACAAGCAAGTTAGTGCATAAATAATTTAGAAAATGTGTTTTAAAAGCCTATGGTATTGTTACGACAGCGGAAGTTACGTAACGCTGCTGGTGCATGCGAGACTGAATTTCTCGAATTATCGGGAACTCCGCGGATTTTGGAGAAGCCTCTTTGTTAGTATTGCTACGACAGCGGGGGTCACGTGACCTTGGTAACACGTAATAAGTATCTAGAAGATTCGCGAAAAACGCTAGTGTGTTACGACAGCGGAAGTCAAGTGACGATGGTAGCACGTGATGAGTGCGTAGAAGGTTCTAGAAGAGGCTATACAGGCGCTATTATCGTATATAAGTGCGCTAGACAAAGAGAGAGAGTGCGGAACCAAGGACAGCAGTTACGGTCGGCGGGAACCGAGGATAGCAGATACAGAGATCAGAAACTATAGTTGCTGACAGGCGGAGATAGAGATGGACAATTGAGTCAAGCACAGTAGAAAGTGAGTGAATTGTTGTGAACTATAGTGTGTGTTTAAGTCAAAGTAACTATGAAAATTAAGTGTATTGCAAAGTTGTATTGAGGAAGAATAAACAAGTTTTATTTAAGAAAGGACTTGTATCGTAGAAAAGTTAACAAACAAACATATATAAACGTAACAGTATATAAGCCTGGCGAGAAAAGCCAGAGGGGCTAAGCGAACAGTAGTTACAGTGATTTTTGTGTAATTTATGATTTTGTTAATTTCGAGCTGGTGAGCCATAAAGTGTGTGTTTTGCACTCGTAGAGAGCAAACTTATCGAGGTTGTTAATTGTTGTGATTTATAGCATGTATCATTAAAGTTGTTCAGTTTAAAGTGATGAGAAACGTACTGACAGAGTAATTACTGTGTACTAAAAGTTT